GAAAGAGCAAAGTAGGAGGAGAAATCGGTTGAAATACTAGATAGAAAAACTATAGGGCTAGATTAAACATTACTATAAAAAGATAGAAATCCCTTAAAATCCATAAAATCTGTGTAAATCCACAGACTTTATTAAGATTTCTTAATACTTATGGTACAATGAAGCTGGAAGCAATAGATAACACTGTGAACTTTGATGCAAGCCCAGAAATATGCAGGCTTTTTCCTGAGCACTACAATAACTGTGATATAAAACGACTCTGAGAACAATGAATCAATCATGCAGTTTACAGTCCTTTTGTATCTATTAAGAAGTATCAATATTTAATTATGTGTTATTTCCCATGCTGGAAGGGGAATGCTGAAATTTTAGAAACAGGCATTCTTCTGCAAGCTCAGCCAGTAAGCAGTGTTTTTCTTACACTGGTGACAGCTATTTTACTTACTTCTGTATTAAAACAAGTCTTGAGTTAAGTTTCACATATAAAAAATGTATGAGTAACATACCAGGGTGTTTTGAAATCTTTATCAATATTTCACTGTGTATTTAGAACATTAACTGGAAATCTGAAGTACACAGGGAAAAATTTATTAGACAGTGATCAGGAAAAAAACTTCAGTGTGCTGCACAGTACTATTCTGCTGTGGTATGATCAGTAGAGTTTGAGTTTGAGTTCCAGTTCAACTTACTTTAAGTGCCTGGACTTTCTATTTCAACAGATTTAATCTTTAAAGAAGTTACTGATTCTTCTTTTTTTTTTTTTTTTTTTTCTTTTTTTTCATTTAAGAAGCATGTGAACTCCATGCCAGAAGTGGTCAAATGAATTTTTCATCATTAGATATTCTCTAAAGACTTGTGCTTGATATCCAAATCCTAGTAACCATTGCTTTTTCTTAGAATGCTAATACAGAATAAAAATGTGTTCCTATTCATGTTACTGGTTTACTTTTAGTTAGAAAAATTAAATCGTATCACCAGATGGATTATTATCTAGTAATAATAAAAAAATCTGCCTTAATGCAGTAGTCAACTGTACCTATTTTAGCACTGATAGATAATTTGCACATTGTCATAACAGTTTTTGATTAATGGATCCAAGTATAGCCACGCGTTCTACTGAAATACATCGTACAGTAAAGATACCAGGCTTCAGCACTGCACACTTTGTAGAAATGGGAGGAATTCTAATTGATTAATTTTAAACAATCAGAATTCAATAAAGAAAAAATCTGTTACACACATAACTATTTTTCCCATTGCTCTGGAATGCAGGAGAAGCTCAGTTAGTTTGTCAGGCTCCTCATTTAGTAGCAAACTCAGTTGTGTATTTTGAGTTAAACTTCCCCAAACCTCCGTCTGTCCAGCTGTGTTCTCTTCTGACTTTGTTTTCTGTGAGTAGCTAGAATCAGCAAAGAATATACGACTCCATCCTGTTCCATTGCATTTGAAGAAGGGAGCTCGTGTGGGGCAGGCATGATAGGAGCTTGTTAGGGGCAGGCATGAGGGGAGCTCGTGAGGGGAGATCTTGAGGGGAGATGAGGGGTGGCTGTGAGGGGTAGGGGAGGCAGCTGTACAGAGTAGACCACTGTGGGGGGTAGGTGAGGGGTGGCTGTGAGTGGAGATCATGAGGGGAGATGTTGAGGGAAGATGAGGGGTGACTCCTAGAGGAGATCATGGCAGTTTGCCCTTAGTGTCATGGTTTAGTGGTGGGCTTGGCAGTCCTGTGGTAGTGGTTGAACTCGATGATCTTAGAGGTCTTTTCCAAGCTAGTTAATTCTATGATTCTATAATTCAAATTTTTGCTTTTAGCATTGCGTGATGCTAGCTGCTGTGTTGCATTGTCATGGAAGTAAAAGGAGTTTTCTCCATTTAACTACAGAGTCATAGAATGACTTAGGTTGGAAGGGACCTTACAGCTCATCGAGTTCCAACCCCCTGCCACGGGCAGGGACACCTTCCACTAGACCAGGTTGCTCCAAGCCCCTGTGTCCAGCCTGCACCTGAACACTGCCAGGGATGGGGCAGCCACAGCTTTTCTGGGCACCCTGTGCCAGGGCCTCAGCACCCTCACAGTGAGGAATTTTTTCCTGATAGCTAATCTAAATCTACCTTCTTTCAGTCTAAAGCAATTCGTACTATCTCTTCAAATAATTCAGGATTTTTAAACTTAAATTTCTGTTATTGATTTGATGTTCCTTGAGAAAGGAGCTTGTGCTTTTGTTCACTCTGTGAACAGAGTATTTCTTATTTCACCCCACTATTTTGACCTTATTATAATCAGTTAAATTATTATTGAAAAACACTGAAAGAATTCTTGTTGATTTTAGTACTTACCTGACATTGCTGGCAATACTTTTTATTTTACAGCGTTTAGTCCTGTGAGAAGGATACAGTTTTTCTAACTACAGAATGTGGTGCATCTGGGCAAGGTTTTCAAAACATTGTGTGCGTGAAGCTTTTATAGCTTGAGGAGGGTTTCTGTTGGATTTGGTAGGCGATGCTCTGAAAAAACAACAACATGCTGGTTTTGCTTGGCTAAACAAAGTTTGTATAATTTTTTTCTGATTTTAGCAAACCTACAGAAGTCCTCACAAGTTTGGGAACAGTGCATTGGTTTAAAAAAAAACTTCAAAGAAACCACTAACTTGCTGTCATGCAAACCCATTTCCTTAATTTAATTATTACTTCCTTACAGTAGGAATTGTATTTTTAAATTGAGATCAGAAGGTGGATAAAAAAAGTACAGTAGAATATAATATTTTTTAAAGCATGAATCTGTGTAAGCAAACAAAAAACAAATGCAGTTTACTTTTCAGAATAACTCCACCAGCGTTCATGTTTTCAGTAGCCTCACTGATCTAATCTACATCTCTTGTTTAGTGTAGCACACTACCATTGGGGAGCATTCTCATTACTACTAGCTCTTACTATATTTTTTCCATTTCTTTATAGTTATTTCTTTCCTCCACAAGTGCTCTGCTGACTCATTTGCTCAGAGCTAATGTGTCTTTACTGACCCACGTAGTTCTAATAATAAATTAATATTTGGAAAGCCCCAGCACATACATACGAGGAACAAGACACTAATTTTAGGGAAAAAGAAGTTGGTAAGGGAATAGTGTGTCAGTTACAAGTGCCAAAACCTGATCTCATTACCTGCCGTTATGGAATTACGGTGTGAATTGGGGTAGGCATAACCGTCGTTATTACTCAGGAAGACCTCCATCTCTTTGATGTCTAAGTGACCTAAGTAATTATAAGGGAAGGCACTGATTGTTTTCTTTTTTCAGTAGTAAGAACCAGTAGCTGAATCCTAATGGCCTCAGGTTTGCTGTACCTGAGAGACCGAGCAGTTTGCTTGTAATTTATAAATTACATGCTGTACAAACTGGTCTTCTGAGATCGATTTCTAAGGATTGTTATAAGTGCGCTTGGGATTTTCATTAAAATGCACCAAAAGATGTAAGCATGAGACAAATCAGTGTATGTTTATATTTCTGAAGATTGGTCTAGGAATTATGTCTTTTTTTTTTTTAAGTGGTATTTTATATCCACTTGTTGCATCAAATTTTGTCTATTATCTGGGGTTACATGATCATATAAATTCTGAAAAGTCTTGTTCATTTTAATTAATCTTTCTGCCGTACAAATTTTTTTAGGTAGGCTAAAAATTTATTTCATTTTAATAGCACGATTGTAAACATGCATTTTGTAGAAAATACCAATTGGTAGTTGCATTTTATTTGTGATTCCAAGTTGCCAGAAAGAAGTAGATAAGCCACAAAAACAAGATCTATCTACTGGCAGCACTCTATAAGAGACCCCATTTTATTTCAGAAAATAAGGATGCACAGTGAGGTTTTTTATAGATTTAATAGGTTCTGTAGCCGTAAGTCTTTCTAAGATGGTAACAGTTCATGAGTAGATTTTCTTACACACCATTGAAACTACCAAAATGTTGCCACATTTTTTGTTAGGACTTAGAGATACAGAAGCATGCAGTAATTCTACCTGAAGAGGAAAACAAAAAATAACCCATAACAAACAAAAAAACCCACTAAACTTGGTACTGGAAAATACATGTTTGGTTTTTATTGATGTCCCACTCAGTAGTGTTCTGCATGCTAGATATACTTGTATAGGAATCCCATTCATTTCAGGTTAATATTTTGCTTGTTTTTTAACAGTATCTTCAAAAGCAACTCCCAAATACAGGAAATTCTTTTAACAGGCACCTTTAGATTCTAGTACTTTGCTGCGTTATCACCTTGAATTACTGTTCTTTGTCATTCTTCCCCTGCATTAACATGAAGTGAGGACCGTAGCTTACAAACTACTGTAGTGATTTTTGCTGTTGCCTCCACATTTCGTGTTAAGAAAAGGCATCTCCACTTTTAGAACTAACCTCATTGTCATCTTACCTGTGACATGAAAGAAACATGAGCAGGGCTCACCTCTTGTTTGCATGTATCCTCATTCCTCTGCATCACTTCTTGGTTTACAAGCCCCTTTAATATCAAATAAAGTGTTTTGCTGGCTTTTTTTCTGTCTTACTGGGTGAAGTAATAAATGGAACATGCATTCAAATATTTCCTGCTTAGGATATGTGATTAAAAGATGCTTTTCTGCAGCAAAATTAATTCTATAGCAAGATTTTTTTCATATTTTAAGAAGTATTTAATTACTGTCTAACAAAGACTTGAGTTACAACAATATGATAGGACACTGAGAGAATTTTTCATTTTTAGTTGTTATGTCATTAATGGCATTCTAATGACATGTGTAAATATTTATACAGGAATCTTTTCCAGTCTTAATATCTATTTTTTTAAAAAATAGAACTAGAGATTTTGGAGCACAGTTCAAACACAAAGGGAGCAAATGATGTAATCATAGATTTATGCAAGGTCTTGACAATGATTTGTTCTGCCCAGGAATGTTGCATTCAATATCATTCAAAAAATATTTAAGTAACTAAGTATTCAGAGAACTTGGATGTTTTGATTTCAATTTTCAGAAAGAAAAGACATAATGACTGTACAGTTGAAACAGTCCTTGTCAATATCAACTGCTTGAGCTTCACACCACCTGTCATTAAGTCCCTTCAGACAAAACCCAGAATCTTTATTAAAGATTGTAAGATATAGAGAAATGTAAGAGTCTCTGCAGTGCCAAAAAGCTGAAGATAATATAGATGGTGAGTGGAAAGGAAGAAATTGTGAATCTTTTAAGCCAATTGGCAAACTACCAAAAAGCAAGGGAAAACAGTTCTAATTGTGGAAAATTAAAACCACAGAAAGAAAGATTCTGAAGCCTGGAAGAACAGAGATTTGAAGTCACTGAGGAGCAAGAGAAAGAAAGGCACATGGATGAGAATTTCCACAACGGCCAAAGGCAAAGGTGTTAGTAAAAAGATAGTTGCAGAACCTGGGTTTTTTTGTTGATTTTTTTTTTCTTAAAGACAGAAAAGAGAGTCTGATAATGCAGTTACTGTATGTGAACTAGATGGTGTCTGCTTTGGAAAGGAAAACAGGTAATATGGAAGGATTCCCTTTTATTCATAGCTTCTGTCATCAAGTTTACTGTAGTATAGAAAAATACTAATGCATTACACTTACAAACTTTTGTACATGTGTTTTTGTATACAAAGGCTGCTTTGGCTGAATTTTAGTTACAGGTGTCAGATGTTGTAATGTTTTCTTTTAACCCAATGCTCTTTTCCCCCCTTCAGTCTAGAAAGTTTAGGAAAATCTTGTATTTAAAGGAAATGTTACTTTAAATGACAAATGAGAAAAATCGAAAACTTTCTTTGTCTCCCCTCTCCCTGTCAGGTTATCTGTGTCCAATCTAAATGAAATTTTCTGATCTATTTTAGTGTTATAAACCGTATTAAATATTGTATCTGAATTTGTTTCTAGGTGTTGCGAAACCAGAGATTTTCTGCTTCCTTTCACCATGCAGTTGAAACAGTTGTTAATATGCTGATGCCACACATCACTCAGAAGTACAGAGACAATCCAGAGGCTTCAAAAAACGCAAACCATAGCCTTGCTGCCTTTATAAAAGTAGGTACACAAGTGGCTTAGGCTCTGTGGTTACTTTTTCAATAATACTGCTTGTTCATGGATCTTAAAGAATCTTAAACCCAACTCACATAAAACTGAATACCCATAATGCTTTCTAAATATAATTCTATGTCCACGTTAAAATGCACCGAAGTTATAATTTGCATCTTCTATAATCAAGAAGACATTTGTTCAGAAGTTTGATATTTTTAGAAATTAACTTACATTTTATCAAAAAATGTATTTTGGGGTATTTTTCTTTAAAATTATCATCTAGGTTACCTTCTTGAGTAGTGTTTTATTTGCATGTATTTTATATAGACAGACTTGCAGTGTCTCTTCTTTATAAGCCAATAAGATCCAGTAGGGAGAGAAAAGGATGAGAAATAATATTTTTTTAAGAAGCTGCTAATGATATGTCATTTTTGTTTCTGTCAGGATGGAGGTGTTCTCTTCAAACTGCTTTTTATTTGCAATTTGTTTACATTCTGCACTCTAAGGGAAAATTTTGTATTCGTGTATGTATAAATTTATTTAGCTTCTTTGTTTTATTGTTCTTTATATTCAAATTGAATTACCAATAATGTGTTAGGAAGATAAACTTATTGAATACAGAAATACAATTACTGAGCACTGAGACAATACTAAATCAATTGTATCTTGGTTTTGCTTGTTTTTCTCAGAGGTGTTTTACTTTTATGGATAGAGGCTTTGTTTTCAAGCAAATCAATAACTACATCAGCTGCTTTGCCCCAGGAGATCCGAAGGTACTTAGTGTTTTTAAACAAACTATTTTTAGGAGTTGCCTCTTCTTGATGCATGTAGATAAGAGTACTGCATTAAGTCTTCAGACTTCTTCCCAGTTATGTTAGAAGTTTCTATACTGTGCTTGGAGTGTGGGTTTTTTTCATCTAATCACTTTTCATATTTTGATTTCCATCTTCAGGTGCAACTTTACTACCCTAGACTGTGTGTACTGTGAAAGGGGGGAGGGTGTGCAGCACTACGCAGAAATTTTAAACATGAATGTGAGAAAGGCTGAAGTTGGAAGAGTTGGTATCTGCTAAGTTTCTGTGCATTTACTGTGGGGGGGAAAGCATGAACCAGATGTTCAAAGAATTTCTTCTGTGGGTTCAAACGTTTCTTTCATCAATACATAGCATCCTAGTAAACTTAAATAACTTGAGACGATGGGAATAGTAAATAGAACTATATTGAGTTGTCAAGCATGAACTGTGCTGGCATTATTTTATACTGACGTGTGGAATTTTGACAGTTCTATATTCCTCCTACTGCAAGGCTTGAGGGAAATCACCCTTTTGTGTTAAAAAGCTGTTTTTAATGTGTTATTCCAATCACTGCATAAGATGTTCGATTTTTATACCTGAAATTCTTTTTGCAGACTCTTTTTGAATTCAAATTTGAATTTCTCCGTGTTGTCTGTAATCATGAACACTACATACCTTTGAATCTACCAATGCAATTTGGAAAAGGCAGAGTTCAGAGATACCAAGGTAAATTCTTCTGAAGTAGTATATGGTACATTTCTTAACTGTCACCTTTTTATTATTATGTTTGTAGATAGTGTAACTTCAGGTCTGTGAGATGTTGGAAACCTTGAAATTGTTAAATGGAAGCCTCAAGTTGTAATTGTTTCCTTTAAACTTAAAGGAAGGGTTTAGGTAGCAGAGTAATCTAGCCAAAGAATCTAGTCATTGAAAGATATGGTGAACTACATCCTTGACTCCGCCTCCCTTTTGTGCTGTGATTGTTTGCTTTTTTTCGTGAGTTAGCTTAATTTGCTAGCTGCAGAAGCCTGCAATACTCCTATAGGTTGGAGGGCAGTGTGAGGTTTGGTATAGTTTTTACTTTTTTTCGTATACCCATTCAGATGAAAAGAGACTTCAGTAGGTCTATAGTGCAGCCTCCTGCTCAGGTCACATCAGGCCTTTCCTTCTCCAGCTGGAACAAGCTCAGTTCCCTCAGTTTTTCCTGACAGGACATGTGCTCCAACCCTCTAACTACCTTGGTGGTCCTTTGCTGAGCTCCTTCAATACAGGTTAGTCAGGCGTGGTTTACCCTGGGTAAATCTATCCTGGCTGTTCCTGGTCACACTCTTCCTCTTTACTTGCTGAAAAATGGCTTCCAAGAGGACTTGCTCCAAGGACCAAAGTGAAGCCTGTAGTTCCTTGAATTCTTCTTGCCCTTTTTTTGAAGATATGTGCAATGTCTACCTTCAGTCATCACAGGGTCCTTATTATGGGATACCCCTGATCACTACGCTTAACAAAGGTGAAAGTGAGTGATCTTCCAATGATATCAGATAGCGCTCTCAGTATCTCATCTGGTGATGTGGGTTCGCGTGACTGGAGGTCTTGCAAGAGATCCCTGACCTGATCCTCATCCACTGGTGATAATTCTATTTCTTGAAGCTGGTCTCTAGACTCTTAAGGCCTGAGAACCATGTCAGGGAAGGATAAGGTAAATGAAGGTATGCAGTACTTCAGCCTTACCCAAGTCCACTGTCCCTAAATCACAGTCACTATTCAGTAAATATCCCATGTTTTCCTTATTCAGGCTTTTAATGCTAATGTAATGGTAGAAGCTGTTCTTGTTTCCATTGATGTCCATTATAACTTTCAGCTATAGCTGAGCTTTGGCTTTCATGACACTATTCCTGCATACTTGGTCAATGCTTCTATATTCCTCCTGTTGCTTGTTCTTGCTTCCACTGCATGTGATTTTTATTTTTTTTTTTTTTTTTTTTAGTTCTTTTTTTCCCACTGGAGCTCAGTCAGGAATGTCCTCTTTAGCCCAGCTGGGCTCCTGGTATACCTAGCTTTGTGCCAAAACAAGTAGTATATTAACTATCGCATTTGTGTCTGTGAAGACCTTAATTTCTTCCAGGCATTGAACTATAGCAGACATCAGTAAGCAGAGATGAGGAAGGTGCTTTTAGAAGTAACAAGTAAATGTGCCTAACATTTATATTATTGTAGATTATGTTACTTTTTTCTGAAGTATTTATTCATCAGACTCTGCTGGCTTGGTGAAGTTGAGTATACCTAATTAATGCTTTCATCATGGTGGCAGAACAAGATTTGGGACTAAGAGCTGTTCAGCTGCAGAGAACTTGTTTCTGTCTGTCTTTTTCAGCCTTTAGGAGTGTCTTTAATAACTATGGCATTGAATGTCTTTGATTCACTGCATGAATATTTCCATAGAAAAGGAACTATGAGTTGAAAAGAGCAAAACTAGAGAAAACAGTGTTTCTGATTACACAATAAGGAACATTTTAAAATGCTGCTCCCTGGTGAACTAGGAGTTCAGCCAGGAAAGGAAATCTTTATCAGAAGTGTTTCTGGCTCTGTTTTGCTGTCTCAGGCAAAAGAGATCTTGGATGAAGCGGTTGGCACTTAAGTGAGTTACAAGGCAGCCTGCAGAATGTCTGTGCTGTCTTGTCTGTGGTTTTTTCTGACTTAATGGATTCCCTTGCTGCAAGAGTTCTTTGAAAAATGAAAGTGCTTTGAGATTAGCATCTGTTTTTTGATTACCGTATTAAACAATGATAGTGAATGAGAAACTCTTGAATAGCTCCTCAGCTGAAATTTTAAACATATATGCATTCTAATAAATAAGACCTTCAAGCTGAAGTTTCTCTTAAGCTGTCATTATATACAGTACATAAATGAGGTGGATTATGTTGTTACAGGAAAAAAGACTGCTAAAGGGGAGCAGTTTGACTTTGCTGTGTCAGATGTGCTGAGGTTTTATGTACGTCTACATAATATCTATATACTATATGGGACTTAGTAAAGATTTACAGTTTATAAAATAAAAATGTATCGCAGCGGTTTAAACACAAATGTTAAAATGTTCTTTAATTGCAATTCTATTGCAGTTAACTGAATAAATATTTCTGAAGAATACAGTATTGTTTAATTTTAGGAAAGTTGCCTACTGTATTATAATGCAGGTCAAATCTGCATAGATTCATTTAAGTTTTCTTGTTTAAATATTAATGTGTACTTTTGTGTTCTGATATATTGAGAAGAAATGGCTTGATTTGGACACGGGTGTTGCAAATGCAGTCGCTTCGTTACACTTTTACTACACTGCAAATTTTTGGGACAATTTTCTTAGAGAATATCAATTAATGAAGATCACAGCAGGCTTTATAGTCTATATTCGTAACAGATACATATGTAAGATAACAAAGAAGGAACTTGAAACCGCAGTACAGAATCTAAAACTTCTTAATCCATGTTTCACTTGCAGTCCTTCAAATTTACTAACCTGGAACTGAACCACAGACTAAAATTTCGATTTTATTTCCATCATACAACTAAATTCCTGAAAGACAGACAGTGCAAAACCATTATTCACTGTGTGTGTTTTCAGTGCCTGAATATAGATTTAGGATTTGAATTTGGAGCTATTAAGATGCTGGTGCAGGTAAAGTTAAAAGGAACACTTCTGAATATTGGGCAGTGTTTAAAATGGTTTTTTTATACTTTTTAAGACTTTTAAATTTCTCCAGTGTCTGTTGTTGATTGAATATACGTCATCATTGTCTGTTTAATAAATGCATCATTATGCAGTTAATTGGGCTAGAGATATCTGAATAACTATGATTACATATTATTGTAAGTGACGTTGTAAACATTTTACTTCAGCCATAAGTTAACTGATAAATTGATTTAAGTAATACCATTCCTTACATTGAACTTGTACTTTACTTCCAGATCTTCACCTGGACTATTCTTTAACTGATGAGTTCTGTAAAAATCACTTCTTAGTGGGGCTGCTTCTAAGGGAGGTGGGCAATGCATTACAAGAGTTCAGAGATGTGAGGCAGATTGCTATTGGTGTGCTCAAGAATTTGATGATAAAGCATTCTTTTGATGATAGATACGCCTCCAGGGTAAGTGGATTGCTGTGCTATTTCTGTTCAGACTGTGATGAGAATAAATATGAAAATGTATCAAAATCAATTTTCAAATCACATATTTTTACCCAAAGAGAGCACAAAGCACCTTTCAATATAATTACATGTGTTTATTACATTTTAGCACAGTGTAATCTAACTGCTGCTGTTAAAGTAACCAGTTTTTTACCAATTTTTTTGGATATTTAATTTTCATTAAACACTAGCTCTTAGTATTTGGCAGCTGTCCTTCCATCATCTATTATTCATAAAATGAGTATAAGAAAGCTACAAGTCATGGTAGTAAATGTTGAGTGAATTTTTTTTTTTAATTTATTTTCTTGGCCTTTTTTTAACATGAGTTGTGCTGTGGAGAAGCAATAAAATTTCAACAGAAGATATCATTAACTTATCAAGCTAACTTAATATTAATTTACTTGGTTAGCCCTAACTAAAGTCACATTAATTTTTAGCTAAAATCACACTAATTAGAGGGGTTTTTTCTGCATTATATTGAAACTGTTAATTTACTGACCTTCTGTAAATTAGAATGAAATACAGTGATGATCACTGGTTTTGCTATTTGTGAACTTACTGAATGTGGGTTCCCGTTTGGCAAATATTTATTAAATGCTCTTTTTTTTTCTTTTGTAATTTAAGATTGAATAGCTTAAAAAAAATGGTGAGTGAAAAATAAATCTGTAATTGTTAATGAACTGTTAAACTCTATTTAGAGCCATCAAGCAAGAATAGCCACTATGTATTTGCCGCTCTTTGGACTGCTCATAGAAAATGTTCAGCGAATCAATGTTAAAGATGTGTGTCCATTTCCTGTTAACCCTTCCAGCAATGTGAGTGACCATTTCTGTTTGATAGCTTGAATTATTTTTATTGTAACTTATGGGCAATGCATGTATTAAGCACTGCATACTTTTGTCAAACAGTTTCATAAGCTTCAGAATTTCACGAGATTTTTCTCCTTGATTTTCTGAGCTTAAAAGCTTAGTTAACCTTTATGGTTTTGGCTGCAGTTTCTCTTACCTAGCTAAGTTATGCCTAACATGATAATCATCTAGTTTGGTCATACATACAGGTTCCAGTGTCCTTGTTGATCTCTCCTTGAACCTTGGAAGATTTTTGGAGAATGCTAGAGCACACAGATTACCACAGCATCATTCTAATGCCATGTGATTATACTGCTATGTAACACCTTGCTTTTTCTGCATCTCTGGCGCATGTGCCTGTGTTTCAATACAAACTACAGACCACACAGGACTGGACCCGCTGCGTCTCTTTGAGTGTATACGTTACCCACTTTTGATACAGTTTCTATGAGAGGAGTTTTCATTAAATTGTCTCTGGTTTTTAGTCAAAAATTACACATCTCTTTAGTCTGCCTGCCAGTTTGTATAAACAGTTTACCTCTATTTTGTATATCCTGGCATATGTAATAGAAAACCAAATTTAAGAAAGAAATATGTAAAAAATACTGCTCTGGAAAATTAAGTATGTCATAGTCACTAAGTCCATAGTGTTGGAAAACAGTGATCACATTTTCCTCTCTTTTCCAAACAGAGTGCAAAGGATGAAGCCCTTAATTTGCCAACTGCAAGTCAGCTAGTAACACCGCAAAAATCAGGAAACACATTGGATAACAATCTTCCTAAGGATCTATTTGGTGTTATCTCTGGTATTGGTAAGCACTTAAAAATAAAATAATTTAAAAAGGAACTAATTTCCTTTTTCATTTGTTACCAGAAATAATTGTTCTGTCTCCAGTTTCGATTGCTTTTGCATGTATACTTGAATGTTACTGATGCTTTCATTAACAGAACCCTAATGCAATCAGCTGTTCCGTGTGGGTCAAAATTGATGGTCTGCACATGAAAGCTTTCTTTTGGTATTTTTTTGGTTTTGCTTTTGTATTTGAAACTAAAGCTATTTCCAGGAAAATGCTGGTTTTCCCCTTTCAAAGGTGATATTTTCTGTCTTGCTGCAGAGAAATGGGAGGCAAGACTAGCCTTAGTCATTTATGGCAAAAGTGTCATAATCCACCATTTTGTACATGATGTTAGAGACCACCTCTAAGTGGAGTGCTGCTTGTACACACATGTGGGCATCCTTCTGTCTCTTGTTTTACTGTGTTTTACTACATGCGCTGTCTGCTGTAATTATTTGTGTCACTTACTAGTCCAAAAAAAAAAAAAAAAGATGAAAAATTGGGAAGAATAATTTTTTAAAATATACATGCTTTGTCATGTAAGTGTGTATTGCTACATCTGGCTTTTACACCTGTGTGTATGCATTTGTATGTAAGTCTGTGTGCATACATGCAGTTGGTTTTTTGTCAGAGATAAGCACCAGAGTAAGTGGATTAAGTGTATACATACATACTTAGCTGAAACTCTAGAATAAAGTTTGTCTTCCTTAAAAGTAAAAGGAATTAATTGTTTGCCTTCTTAAAAAATATATACGTAAATGGTGGCTTTGGAAGTCTGACTAGACTATGGTATGACCTTTTTCAGTATATGTATTGTCTGAGATTTTTATGTTGTTTGGAATTTTTGTTGTAGCTTCCCCATACACCGCATCAACGCCGAATGTTAATAGCGTGAGGAGTGCTGACTCAAGAGGCTCTCTTATAAGTACAGACTCAGGAAACAGCATCCCAGAAAGACAAAGTGACAAGAGCAATTCTCTTGACAAGGTAAAAAAAAAAAACAAAACCAAAATAACCCGAAACCAAAACAAAAAACAGAAAGTGTAGTCCTAAAACTTTATCTTAAGTGTCATAGGAGTTAACTTCCATAATCTCCATTGAGAATGAGCTTTCTAGAATAACTCTAGAGCAGTACTTTACATAAGTTGTTGTTTTGCAAAATTATTATCATATGAACTCTTTTTGCATTGCATTTATTAAATTGTTTTGTGGAAAATACAAGGTTTTCAATATAGAGACATATTGAGCAGTTGGGGGTTTTGTCGGAGAAAAGCACTAGATTAAGTGTATTGAGTTGCACTGAGGAGAATTGAATTTCAGTTAGGACAGCTGGTTTGGTTTTGTGGAGACCTTCACTCCATCCTGTTCTATACACACTATGTGTAGCATTTCTAAGATGCTGAAAAAAGAGTTGCTGTGCTTTCTCTAGGTAATTTCTTTTATGTTAGTTTAACTTTTCTAAATCATTTCATTTCAAAGCTGTTACAAATTAGGAGCTCTGGCTGCAGTAGCTATGAGGTATTCAGTCATGTCTTTCTAGAGCTTGTGTTGATACTGATCACATTTCATTTTCTTAGATCTTGTTGTGCAAGTCACAACATGTTAACTTTTTCCCCTTGACTCTGACATGCCTTCGTGTGGCAGAGAGAGAAGCTTCTCAGAAGGCACTCTGCTCATGCTATGCGCCCTAATGGAGAAGAAGAAGAAAATTCTCACCCTGCAAAGAAAAACCGTGTTACTATGGATTTTTCACTTCTGACAATTCCAGCTTTGCCAGAGAAAATTTTGCATGCTGCTTTCTCTCTTCAGTTACAAGAAGTATTTGATTTTTGTGCTTGGCATAGTTAAGCTTCTGAGTGAAGTGTGTGATCAGTAGTTTTGCCACTTCTTTGCAACAGTTGAATCTCAAGCCAAATATGTACAATGTAACCATGTCAAATACCTTTAAATGCCAAACTTGGAATGGTTCCTGTACATGATTTAATTTCAGCACAAAAATTCAATCAGTTTAAGTAACAGCAGAATATGTGTCTTAGGTCTTTAATATAATAGAACTAGAAAATCTTCTTTGACATTGACCGAGGAAATAAAGCAATATCTTGTACATACACTGTTGCTAAATGGCAATGCTGTCATCTATTACTTAGTTGTCATGTTGTTAATTACAAATGTGTAGTGTTTTTACCAAGTAGAAGGGTTTTCAAAGGCGTCAACATCCTTTGAAAATTCTACTCTGGTCTGCCAATTTTGGCAGTACAGGATTTATGTTTTGCATGCTGTTAATATTTTCCCCAAATAATACTTAATCCTGGCTTCTTATTCGTTGCTTTCCAAACTTTTTTTTCTGGTAGATCAGTTGTTGAGTGCACGTTATCTTTGAGTTTTTGCTCATTGCTTGATACCATATTGAAGAGCCATGTTTTTGTTTTAATTTTCTTTCAGAATAACCTGTAGAATTATGCTTGTGGAATCAGAATTGGCTGGAAGTATATCAGTTTCTATTTTAATATGTGCATACTTTATAGGTTATTGATATGATTTTAAACTAAGCTTGGGAGTAGTTGGGTACCTTGGTAGCTTGGGAGTCCTAGTTTTATCCATGTGTATGCTCAACTATTTTAGAGGGAATATTATCTAGCACTCTGGACAGTATCTGAAACCTAGGAAACGCGAATTCTGTTTCTACTCTGCCACCCATTAATTGCTTGCTCTATTTCATTATCCATAAAGCTGTAGAGTAGCACCTCCTTGTTCACCAGAGATATGTCAAAGATAACAGTTTGTGAGGTTATTAGAATCTGCAATAATCAGGCTTATACAGATGCCCATTCTCTCCCAAATTACAGTAAGTTCTGGCTAGGTTCTTGAGGTATTGGCACTTCTCACTTTGTGAAACCAAGTGCTTTTCTCCCTTGAGACTACTTTTTAATTTTGATATGAATGATTTCTTCCAAAACTGCTCAGTGTCCTTAAAAGGTCATGGAGCCAAGATGATCCAGCATTCTTGTAGAAACCAGAGTTGCATAGTACCAAACTGTTGAGTTAACGGAAGACTTGCAAAAAACGTCTGGTTCATTTTCCATTTGCTTAAGTGGCCTCCTACTGGAAGTGCAAATTAGGCACTAGAAAGGGTATAATTTATCCTTTAAACAAACATTCATATAGTGTGTCTGTGAAGGCCTCAAACTGAGGATTTTGTAACACCTGGCTGTGTGGAAATTATTCTTTTTCAGATAAAGATAAGTCTCTGCCTAAAATTCAAGTTATATATTCTCTATATTCTCACAGGATTTGGGTTTTTTTCTTTTTGTTTTTCTGTGGCACACATTTTTGAAAGATTAGTTAGGGGTTTTTTTTTCCTTTTTGGACGGAGCTCAGTATTGAGCATTGCTGATAAACTTCGCACAAGCGTAGAAATTGTGGAAATGAAGCAGGGAGAAGGATTTAAAAAAAAACCAAACAACAAACCAACAACTTAATTTAATTTTTAGTTATTTTGAGGCAAGGACAAGTTCAGTAGTTCAGACAAAATCAGTAGTTAATCTTCCAGAATGCAGATTCTTGCCATTCATGTATATTTTCCTTTAGGTTCTTACATCTTTAGATGGAAAGAATTTTGTAGAGGCAGGTCTGTCTCCAGTTCAGCATAAAGTCTCTTCAAAAGCCAAGTAGCATATATGTATCGCTTAACAGAAGCATTTATTTTTGAAGTATTTCATCTAAGCAGAAGGGGCATGCCTGATCTCTACAGTGTGGGTATCTATGTATAATTAGCTTGATTATTAATCATCATTAGGTGACTTTTCCTTTTACTTCTCCCTCTGGGGGAGGAAAGGAATCATACAAAGAAGGAAATAAAAATAAGCAAAGGTAAAGAGGCCTAATTTGGTATACTTCATGTGTGTAATGTGTGTTTTAGTGACCTGTCTCTACATGAAACATTTTTGTCTCCATTCTGAGATCCTTTTTCTGTTGCAGGAATTAATAAAGCAATTTAAAACATTGTAGTTTCTTATCAGTTTAAGAACTCTTCAACCAAAATATGTCTCTTTTCTTGTCAGAATCAGCAGAGCAGCACTTTAGGAAGTTCTGTAGTTCGATACGACAAACTTGACCAAGCAGAGATCAAAAGTCTGCTCATGTGTTTCCTTCATATTTTAAGAAATATGTCAGAAGGTATGTAATTCCACCTATTTGTTTAATAATTTTGAAATCAATACCTTTTCAAAATCAGCAGAATATTTTGGGTGTACGTACCATGTTCTTCTGAGGTTTACAAATATGTGTGATTGATCAAATTAAACTTGGCTGAAACCTTGTAAGCATTAAATACTTATTATTTCTTCAAAGTGTGAGGCTAACTAAAGGACTTGTTAAGAAAGCGACTATTTGTGCGTGACTGTTCAGTCCAGTCTGGAACATGGAGGTGATCAGTAGAAGAGTCTTGGGGCTAGTCCGTTCCTTCCATTCCCCCAAATTATTCGATCGCTGTGTATATTTCCATTTCTGGAATGGGGATATTTATGCTTCTTCATTCTCCTGGGATGTTTGTGAGATGATCCATACTATCCTGGAGAAGGTTTACTACGCTCATAGCACTATGATGCTATGATCCCTAACCATGATCAATATTTAAAAAAGAGGGCAAATCTCTTTTGGTGAAAGTATTGAATTTTTCTGTTTGTGCTAAACATATCAGAAGTAGTTAATTCGTTTCTGTGCCTATTTTGATAATAATTTGTAAATATCAAGTTTATGTAGTACTTGAACTCTAATTTATTACCCCACTTAATCAAGAATGAGAATTGAAAGGTTCATTAATATCCAGTCACACCATTACATTTTCATGTAATTACATCAATATTACTTTATGTATTTTATATAATAGCAGAAGAATAATAGCAGAATCATGGAGCAGTTTGGATTGGAAAGGACCTTAAGATGATATAGTTCCAACCCCCCTGCCGTGGGCAGGGACACCTCACACTAAACCGTGTTGCCCAAGGCTCTGTCCAACCTGGCCTTGAACACTGCCGGGGATGGAGCATTCACAACTTCCTTGGGAAACCCATTCCAGTGCCTCACCACACTCACTGTGAAGAACTTCTTCCTTATATCTAATCTAAACTTCCCCTGTTTAAGTTTAAACCCATTACCCCTTGTCCTACCACTACAGTCCCTAATGAAAAGTCCCTCTCCAGCATCCTTATAGGCCCCTTCAGGTACTGGAAGGCTGCTATGAGGTCTCCACGCAGCCTTCTCTTCTCCAGGCTGAACAGCCCCAACTTTCTCAGCCTGTCTTCATACAGGAGGTGCTCCAGTCCCCTGATCATCCTCCTGGACTTAACAAAACTCGGAAATAACATTTTCACTGTTTTACACTTTGGAATATATAAAAATTAGCAAGAATTTCTATGAAATCCGAGTTAAAATTTACATAAGCACAGTGGAGGTTTTTTGGTCTCAATACTCCTGGAGAAGAATCAACTTTGCCACACACCTTTGTAATAATTTTGAATTTGTTAGCCGATTTTGAACATTTTTGGTGAAAGAGAGCAGGTTTTGGCTGTGTAACTACAAGCTTTGTAAGAAATAGTCGTTCTCGAAATCTGTGCAAGTAAAGATAATCTGAAACCTGTACTGAACATGTATCTGTATTAAAACACCATAAATGAAAAAAGAAGAAATATTAAATTCTAATTTTAAAAAATGTTTTAGAACACTGTAGTCACTACTGACTACACAATTATTACTACTTGAAATATGAAATTGTATGGGAATATTATGGATTAATTAAAAGCATTTTGTAAAAACTCATTTGGAGAATTGATATGTGCATTCATATAATGAGATTCAAGGAAAATTTTTAATCGTAGTAATTGCCTGTACCCCACAAGCCATTTTTAGATTTCCTGAACCCTCATTATCTGAAAACTAAGAACTTCTACTTAAAGATTTTTTGTGTTTGCTACTTTTGTCTTGTTTTTAATATTTTTCGTTTTCCTAGATGCATTGTTTACATATTGGAACAAGGCTACAAAATCTGAACTGATGGACTTTTTCACAATTACAGAGTAAGATTTTTGTTGAGCTTGTCATGAAATCGCATGTTTCATTATGCTGTTAAAAACATGAGTCAAGATATAAGTATGCATTATATATGTTTTTATTCATTTGTTTGAAAAAATAATGCTATCTTGGTCTGTTTAGCAGTCCTTAACTTGAGGTGCATAATTGCATGTCTGTCCAATTGCATGATAGTTTCTGGAATTAGGCTAAACAAAAGTGATCTTGGGAAGTTCCTAAACAGTGAGTAGTGCTCGGAATATTGCTATGCTCATAGAATAGAAGAGGAACCAACTGTCTTGTTCCCTGTCTGCATTAAAAAGCATCTTGTAATGTGAACTGGATGAAATGATATGGTTGCGTATCAAAATCGGTTGCATTGCGTAACTTCAGAACCAAAGGGATATGGACCATCCTCCTAGCATTCCCCTTGTGTCTTCTGCCATTCTGTAAGGGAAAAGATGCAGGATGAATCCCGTATTTGTTATCAAAGGCAGCACTTAATCCCTGTGCACACTTAACTTGTTTCTCCATGGAAATTGACAGATACAGAAGTAAAAAGTGAAGAAGGCACTGTGCTTAAAGTTGTGTGCTACGGAAAGCCCTTATGCTTACCTTGCTTGTTTCACTGGTTTCCTTCGTTTCCATAGTAGAGGGTCAATCAATGTGGTATCAGTTGTTAATTGTGTTATGGAGTGTTCTACTCCAGGTCTATTTTAGGAATATATTGTAGATAGTATTTTAACTCATCCTTTGAGTACATCTGACGTGATATCGATTGTACGAGAGACAGAACTGAACAAGTAAATGAGCCAACTTAGTGCACTCTCTAAAGCCTGAGCTGTAAGCTGTGCAGAATCAGTGGTGAACAGTATTTTGCCATTAGATAGTTATTTAAGGGATGGATAGGATTGGTTTGTGATCAAATCAGTAATCTCAAATTACTAATTATCAAAGAAGATTTACATCACGAAAGCAGTATATGGAATAAAAAGGAAAATTTCCATCTTGTTAATGCAGTGGATGATATCACATTTCCTTAAGAGCAGCAACAAGACTCGTAAAAGCCTACCTCTTCCAATTCTAGAAGTATTTTGTCAATTCAAATAACCTGACTGATTTCAGAAGAGCCATATTTACCTTTTTTTTGGCTTGGGGACTGGAAGGGAATTTTAAAGGTGGGAGAAATAAAGAAGTTTTATGATGTAGGAGTTTGAAGTTAAATAATAGTTGAATAATTCCAGTGTACATAAATGTAGAAGAAATAGTTTTAAGTGGTGCTTCTCTGACTTATGTGTTCTCTGCAGAGTATGCTTACATCAGTTCCAGTACATGGGAAAACGATACATAGCCAGGTACTGTGTGGAATTTAAATATCACTGTCTTGTTCACTAAGAATAATAGTGTGTACAATATGCCTTGAATGTCCTATTACAAATAAATTGCATGAGTAGAAGAGTTACCGTGAAATGACACATAACAGTTTGAAGTACGTAACCGGTTACTATATTAACATATCTGTCTCCTGTCTGGTATATGTTTTAAGAATTATGTGTGTTGTGTTTATTATCAATTACTTGAAAATTCACCCTTTAAATGCTATCTTTTACAGCACTTTTTTTCATGCCATAGGAAGAAATTTTGTGATTTGTTTTGTTTGTTCACTTGGCCATAAAATCATGTCCATTGAAATGTTTTAGAAACTTCCTATGTAGTGATTTACTGAAAGGTGACTATTGAACATTCCAACACTGCTGGTTTTCATTTGGAAGTTCAGAGTACCATTAGATACCTGTATGTTCCCAAGGCTGTTGAGGAGAAAATCTGTCAGAGTCAGAAACATGCACTAGATTATTTGAATATCTTTGCTTTAGTGTGGTTTCTAATGCAAAGTAGTTTTTTAATAGAGTAAAATATTGCAACATTTTTAGGCCTTATATTGTGGCTAATGTAATAATACTGTTACAATTAGACTTGCGAGGTTGAAATACCTGGCCCTCTTGAACTCAGTGAGAAAGTTATTGCTGACTTTGGGTAGTAAAGCATTCTAATTAAAATGTTCACTGTTTTGTTCATAATTTAAATTTAATAGCATGTAAATCTCTTTATACAGACAAAAAAGCCGACTATCTCCTTGGAGATTTTTCAGGAAAAAAAAAATCTCTGTTCACATACCCTAAAGAAAAAATGAAAGGCCAAAATGATTCTGACTTAAGGTTTTGATTATAACCTTTGTGTTTAGATGTACTTAAAACTCTGGATCTACAGGAGTCTGTAATTTTCAGGCTTTTTGTAAAAATTCTTGAAACTAGTTTGTAGAGAAGACTACCACGCTTTCTTTTTTAGCTACTGATTACCTAGTCTGTGTACTGCATGTTACACTAAAAAAATTAAGCTATAGAAATCATCTGGTGTTCTGCAGAGAAATTGCATTTTCCTGGTAAATGTAGCTTTCTGGTCTTTCACATTTTCATGACAGTGAAGTGTATTGCAATCAATGCACATATTCTTAAAATACACAAATGACAAAGAATGAAAGGGAGCAGGGAATTCTGTGATTCAAGCACTGGTTTTCATATTTCATCAGCTCTGGTGGTGGTACTCAGTAGAAAGTTAGCCTGTACTGATTGCTAACACAGTTCACTTTTCTGTTTCCTTCACTTGGTTGCTGCAAGTTTAACAAAGTATATGGCTCTTCTCCCTTCCTGCTTGGGTAAGATGTACATAATACCTCACTTCATAATACCTTAGTGCATAATTCCTGCACTCTTGTTGCATGTCTGCTTTCTGAGTTTACCACTGTGTGTCCTAACTATTTTCTCAGATTTTTACAATCAAAATAGAGGATTTGGTTCTGAGTTCTGAATATTTTCAGAATATTTACGTCCTCAAATATATATGTTTTCAAAAGCTCTGAAATAAATCTAGCATTTCAAGAGCGACTGCTTGTGTGCTTTTGCTTTCATGCTTTGAGGTTTTCAGAAGCAGTTTGCTGTGATGCTTTATTAAGCTACCTATTTTTGTTTTATAAATAAAACAGTAAATAGGTTGCATTATAATTCTTTCTCTAAAACTGCTTGTGCTTAACTAACACTTCCTGTCTTGCTGCAGTTTGACATGTCTAACTTTTGCTTCTATCCCATTTCACCCATCTTGCAGGAACCAGGAGGGGTTGGGATCCATAGTTCATGATCGAAAATCTCAGACATTGCCTGTTTCCCGTAACAGAACAGGGATGATGCATGCCAGATTACAGCAGCTGAGCAGCCTGGATAACTCTCTCACTTTTAACCACAGTAAGTCTCATGACATGATAACATTTGTCATCCTTAACCAGTACCACAACACCAGAGACAGGTCCTAGAACCACACCAGTGCACTTCAATGACGTATTGTTCTAGGTCAAATCTGGAATCAGTCGATGGTCTGTTCCTTGCTGTATGATAGAACAATCAGTGCGGGCTGATGCCATAACATGGAGAATGGTTAACTAAGGCATATTTTAAAATTGTATTTTTTTAATTGGGTTTGGTTTGGTTTTTAATTACATGCATCTCAACTTTGTGCTGCATGCAGTTAGTAAATTTACGTATCTTTATTTGCTTTGGTAAGCTTCACTTTTTTGCCCCTTTTGGTCTTATAAATGATTGATCTAAAAGTAAATATATGCACTCTGACCGTACCTCCATGTTTTGACATCCTCTAAGGAGAAATAAGTTGCTTAGAATTTCTGCAGAGATTGTGAAGCCCATGATTTGGTTTGTCTGGAAGTGAAAAAGCGTCCAATAATGAAGTGATTTTTCTGTTTTCAGTGTGAGAAAGATATCAAGTATTCTTGGGATTTCTGTAGACAATGGTAAGATTTAATCAGGTTGAAGTCAGCTTGTATAAGACTGCTGTATTGAAAACTAAATCTGCTTCTGGCCTATCTTTTTAAACATGCTGCTCTTAAATTGCAAAGTATACTGTATGTAAATTATTCTGAAGCACCGTTTTTCAATTTTCAGCTTCAAAACCCAGTGAAACTGGTTGACTAATCCAGTAAAACACAACACTGGTACTGAAAAGAATTATGTGCAGTAAAGCAATTATTTAACTGTATGTTCACTGTGTTCATCCTTTTATTTCCCAAAGCATATCTAACTATCCATTAAAATCTTTTAGCTCATTATCTGTAATAAAAAAGCAACTATTAGCCTAATGGTTCAAGACTCACCACGCAGTCTAGTGAAAAACTGGGGAAAAAAAATCCAACCAAACCCCTCTGTTTATAAGTGCATTCTCATGCTATTAAATAGAAGAAATGCAATTCTTTGAATTTAAAAATGTCAGAAAACTATATAACTACGCAAACTACCTTTTTTTCCTTGTAATCGGTCTGCTACTGCTTTATGATGATAATTTCTAGATGTCTTTTCATAGACGAATGAAAGAGCTTTTACACTATGTGACAGCATAGTCAGTAAGATAAAATACTTTGTAGATAAAGACCAATTGGAAAAATAAAATCTCTGGGAAATAAGTAACAGTGCTGTTCCTAGGCCCTGTGCAAAGAGATTTCATACTTTCAGAGCTTGGCAAAGTTTACTGATTTTTAGGAAACAGTGAGCTGAAAGATTTTAGTAAATGCATGCTTCTGTAAAAATAAACTTTCTATTCTTTTCCACCTAAAGGAAATGATAAAGGAAGTTGTCTCATTCAGATAACTTTGCGTACAGTGATAATAGGGTGGGTTTTTTTAATGTTGGACATTTAGGATATTACACCTTGTATTGACCAAGGTTTTACAAAGTTAAATTATGTTTCTATAAAAGCCATGTCAAATGTGAAATTGAATTTTATTTCTTTGGTCTTGATGTTGTCTAACTTTTAGTTTTGTTTAGTTGTCAGTCTGCCTGTATCTTGTATTCAAGGTTGTTTTCAGAACGTGAATAGAACTTACAGGCATCGTCAGTGGGATACATACAGGAAGGATGTACCTTCCTGGAAATAGTTGCTTTGATTATTTCTAAAATCCTGGTTCTTTGGCAAGATAGCCATCTATAAATGTAACTTACAAACTTAAAATTTCTCCCTTTCTAATCATTTAAACAAGGAGTAGAACCGAGGTCATAGTGTAAGTGATATTTCATGTCTGAGGAATTTTTGTTCTTAAGTATGAAAAAAATAGGCCCTTTGTTCAAGTTTCTAAAGTGTCTCAATACAAACTACAAGAATGTAGATTTATGTGTATTGCTTGGGTGGGAGGAGAGGAGGATGCTCAGTTGAACAGTGACATGCAAACAGTAAAATATAGGAGATATACCCAGATCTTTAATAGCTGTATATGATCATTGTCAAGCTTGTAGTTGTTAGAGATTATCCCATTTTTAGTGTTCTTAAGTAGTTCTAAATTCAATTACTTTGCAGTAGTGTGAATGTGTGGATGCATGATCATGTGTGTGTCCAGGCAGATGTCCATATTATATGTGGTAATTTTAGTTCCATAGCTTCTGTTTAAGTTATATGTGAAAAATAGGTTCCAATGTGTTAGTTATACATGAATACAAAATTATTTTCTCTAATATAGTAGCGAATTGAACAAGAATAGTTTTTTAGTATGTATTTGGGAAAAGCACTCCTAAATCAGTCTTAATTCAATGGAAATGAGTGTTCCTTTACATTTACATCCTGCCCAAAACTTCTAGCTCTAGTAATTATGCAGAGTAATCCATATTTTCTCTTTATTTGTTTGTTCTAAATTCTTTATGTGAAGAAAAAAATTGAAACTATGGAATTCTACCCATTGACTACACTTTTTACTTAGTATTTATAATAAACTTTGCACCTTCTTAACTTCAACAAATTATTTCTTTAAAGAACATTTCCTCTGTCCTCAACAAATTTCTCAAAATAGTTGTCATCTTTTGGTATCTTCAACGTTACTGAAACCGCAGGCTAACTTAAGGATTTCTGGCCACCCAAAGGTGATTTTTATGAAGAAGGATTTTTCTTTTGATTTCTTTAAGGAAAAGAACACTTTTAGTAAAGCAAGAGTATTTGGTAAACAGCTGTTTTGTTAAAACTTGCTTTCAAATGCCAGTTGTACCTCTCCGTCATGATAGAGGCGAAGGATGTAGTTGGATTGAAACCACAAAGTGAATGGGAGGAGGAAGAGGTGGAGGCAGAGAGAACACAGAAAAATATAGGAAAGATGTGTGTACAGAAAGAATGTATAAATCCAAAGAAACTGGTTGTTATGGGTAGGTATGCATAGTTCAGCCAGTGAAGCAAGAAGATGCAGGAAGAAATGGCCAGGTGTCATTGTGAAAGAATATATAATTTCTTCTGTTCGTTTCTTGGTTCCAACAAGTTTGTTATGCTTCTCATTGATTTAGTGATGCCAAGTTAACTGTAAAACTAAAATACAAACACGATCCAGACCAAATTTTTATAAAGCAACCAGGGCACATTTTTCATTCTGGTTCTTAAAGGTTAATGTTAGGGAATATAACGTATCCTGCTTCCGCACTGCTGATAATATGTTTTTTAAATTATTTAAATACAGTATGGAGCTAGAAGCAGTACAGGTTTTTTACTAAATATGGAGTTATTGCATGGTATTGCTACAGAGCGCAAATAATTATTTGGGTCTTCAGCTGCATATACATACACGATTCAGTTATATTCCTTCAGTTCTTAGTGTGTTGTATTTTTACAATGGTGGATTTACAATTGACTTTGAGATCCTTATAACATTGCTAAATTACCAACACATATTTTTATCAGTAACTCCATTCTACTGCAATACTTACTTTAAGAATATATGTGTGTGTCTAACTCTACATTTATATTTATATACACATGGGTATACGTACACATATATGAACATCAGACATTTATTATTTAAACTGCTATTTAATGCTTCTACTGTTGACATTAGTACTTAATATTATTTTAAGATCTTGTATGGATTACGTTAGAATAATTATATGCACATATTTGAAAAATACTTAAATGCTTATGAATTATTTTTCTGTATTGAATACTAACTTCTGTCAGGCTTTTTACTTCTTTTAAGTCTTTTGGAATAAGAAACATCTAAATGAGTATATCCAGCACTTATACTTCATTTGGAATTTCTGTAGGCTATGGCCATTCAGATGCAGATGTTCTTCACCAGTCTTTACTTGAAGCAAATATTGCCACTGAAGTTTGCCTTACAATTCTGGATACTCTGTCATTATTCACAATGGCTTTTAAGGTTTGTCCTTGACTTGCTGTTAACATCTCCCATAATTATCTTTTAGGAAAAAAAAAATGAAATGTTTTTAAAATTATAATTATGTTTTATAGTCTAGTAATATAACATTGTATTTTTAGCACTTCTAGCATTGTGTTTCATTATTGTGTCATGTAAAAGCTGATAACCTCCTGCAGCAATATGTTTTGGCTTCAGTTACTCATTGCATACAGGCTTCTTACTTATCAGCAGTAATCTGTGTAGACCTTTGCCCTCCTGCAAGCATTTGTATCTTCATACACAGAGCTTGAAACTTTACTGGGTTCTTCTGGTCTGCAAGTCAACATTATCAGAATGGTTTTTAAAGGAGGATTGCTTCCTTTAATTTTTTAATATTGAGGAATACCCAAAATGACTATGACTATATGCAAATTCTTTAGCCTGGAGAATTTGTTTTGCATCATCATGAGCAGGAAAGGAGACATCTGCAATTACACATCTCTTCCATGTTCGAGAGAGCTTAAGGCATGCTACAAGAGCCCAGATCTGTAGTGGGCCTCAAGAATCTTACTTAAAAATTTATTAAACTAGATTCTTTGAGTTAATATTACCTTAAAACTTACTAGAGATAATAATGGAGCTGCCTTTCAGCGTACCGTTTGGATGCCTGTAACGACGTGGAAAAGTGGGGTATGCAGAGGAGAGTTGCAGAAGGTGCAAGACCAAATAGAATCATGTTGGAGGGCCAGTGGAGTCAAGAGGGAGCAATACTTAGTGTGTTCCTCTCAGTTCTGGACTCCCTTGACTGGATTGAGCAGTCCCTGGATTGATTAACCTATTTTGGTGTTTTGTAAGGGGAAAGACCTCATTGTTTCATCCTAAGTCCTATAACAACCTAGTGCATATGCTCAGTGAATAAAGGGAGAAAACAGATCCTCAGAGCAAAATGGAAGTACATGAACTGTTAAAAGTAGATGCACAGCCTATGCTAGAGAAATTGGAGGAGAACAGATTTAAAAGAAAGCTTGGATGGAAGGCAGTTGTTGATGATAGAGAAATCAGGAGTAACCCTCTGTATTGTGTGCCTCAGAATGAGCTTTGGAATATTGATGCAGGTAAAACTCTGAAGAGTAACTAATATATTTGTCCTTAAGGGGCCTTTCAGTTTCAGTTCTAGTACAGTAATGGAAGATGGTGACTGGTTTTGGGGGAGTTTATTTGAGAGCATTGCTATGAGAAAATTCCACTATCTGAGCTGCTAAATCCAGTGTAACCAAAGTGTGTTAATACTTTGAGAGTGCCTCTCAAAGAATTGTTAACAGTAATTTATTTAATTAAAGGCTGTTTAAAACAATTGTTCTATTAGTCTATTTAGAAGCCAAGACTTTGTTTATAAGCCATATTAATGAAATGTTAGAAACATATACCTAAAATTAAGATATGTTATTAAACATCTTGGTCATACTATGCAGATTATTAATTGTTGTTGTTATTATTATTAAATATTTCCTTCTTTTGGATGATCTGTATGTTCTTAGAATAGTATAAATGTATCACTGTACAAAACTCCTAAATTCTCTCTTTCAATTTGAAGAATCAACTACTGACTGATCATGGGCATAATCCACTGATGAAGAAAGTATTTGATGTATACCTTTGCTTCCTTCAAAAGAATCAGTCTGAAACAGCACTGAAAAACGTCTTCATTGCTTTAAGGGCACTAATTTTTAAGGTAAGAAGTTTAAAAATATTTGATCTTCAAGTACTTACCCATTTCTTTAGTCAACAGTATACTGTGTAAAAAAAATTAAGAACTAAAATACCAAATTACTATTGGTTATTGAGGACTGATCTGATCCCAACAGTGTTCTTTGAATTGCTGCAAAAATGACATTGTCTCGTGAACTGCTATAACTGTCTATTTTTTCCACAGTTTGGGAATATTAATATATTTGTATTTTTTCTTGATACGCTTATAAAGAACTGAAGCTAGTTTTAATGAATAATTTCTTCCTTTTTTACTTTTTCCTCAGTTTCCTTCTACGTTTTATGAAGGTAGAGCTGATATGTGTTCTGCACTCTGCTATGAAATTCTGAAATACTGTAATTCCAAACTGAGTTCAATTCGTACTGAAGCTTCACAGCTACTGTACTTCTTAATGAGAAATAATTTTGATTACACAGGGAAGAAGTCTTTTGTTAGGACGCATCTGCAAGTTAGTATACTTTCTTTATTTTTCCTCTTTGTTTTTAAATATTGTATTTGTGAACGTGCAGATACATACCAGTATGCAAAGCTCTGTCCTATAAAGACATAAAAGAAATTGGTTTGGGTTCAAGCAAGGCCAGTACTATTCTAAGAGGAAGAAGATGGCAATAAAAGTATGTTCAGTACAAGGAAATACTTAGAAACAATTTGATGTCCCTGTGTTTCATAGGAAATAATTTTTATTTGTCTGTAGCAGATGCTCTGTTTTGTAGATGTTAATTGTTAACTGGCATACCCTGTTGCATCTGAAAAAGGAAAAGAATGCAGAAACAGTCAAGTAAGAGTCTAAAATAAAGCAAATACATAGAAAATTGTGTGTTTTGTCAAAGCTGGGAACAATAGTTTACTAGTTTTATGACCTCTGGCTAGTTCACTTGGCAGTCAGTCTTCAGAGCAGAGAATGTGCGTGGATTAAATTTACACAAGCCTGTTTTTTCTTACCTATGTTGTTGTACAAGCAACTTTGGAAAAAAAGAAAACCCAAATATAATTTAACTGAAGGAAATAATCTTTCAATTAAAATTTAAATTCCTTTGCAATTGCTTCATTGGTGCATGGCAAGGGTGTTTCATGAAATATGCACTAACAAGACATTTGTTTCTGTCAAGGTTATTATTTCAGTGAGCCAGTTAATTGCGGATGTTGTTGGAATTGGAGGAACTAGATTTCAGCAGTCTCTTTCCATCATCAACAATTGTGCCAATAATGACAGAATTATAAAGGTCTGGTTTTATTCTTCTTTCCATACTGTAAAAGGATGCTTGAAAACTCTACCATAGCATCTTTTGCAATTATGTTTCAATTTTTATTATGCGAAGAATAGAAAAAGATAGTAGTTAACCTGATTTCTCTATGTTTTAGCACACTACATTCCCCTCTGATGTTAAGGATTTAACAAAACGGATTCGTACGGTACTGATGGCTACAGCTCAGATGAAGGAGCATGAGAATGATCCAGAAATGCTTGTAGACCTCCAGTACAGTCTGGCAAAGTCTTACGCTAGTACGCCTGAACTGAGGAAGACGTGGTTAGACAGCATGGCAAGGATCCATGTTAAAAATGGAGATCTGTCAGAGGTAAGAGAAAAAAATCACACTAGTTTTAGCTTTGTAATAAGCTTAAGCGTGTCTTTCTTGAAATCACATGTACTATATGTAGTTGTTAGTGTGTAATATAGTAAGCATTTTTAATAAATTTTGAATTGTTAGTAGATTAGTTTGAATGGCTGATAAGTTTATGTCCCACCACGGACAACCATAAGTCATTTCTGTTTACTGATATAAAGTATATGTTTAACTACTGTAGCTGACATGCTGCCAAACCGGGAATGCTCAATGCAAACCATGGAAGACACAGACCTTCTGCTTAAAAATATCTTTGTTATCCGTTGCTGAAACACTTAAAGCCACTCCTTCAATTCCTTTCCAGTTGCCTTTACTGAATCAGCTTGATTCTATTCCAGACTGCTTATTAAAAAACTCCTTCTGTTCTTAAAATCAATAAATCGCAATTTTTTTGTTTGAAAAGAGGAAAGCTATCTGATTTTACTGTGCTGTTGAAACATTTATTTCTAGCGAAAAGGAGAGTTGGGAGTGGGAATTTTTGTATCTTGATGTAAGTATTTTGTCAGCATACAGAATGCATTTGGTCTCTTTCTGTAAGTTTGCTCCATCTGAAAGTAAATCACGTTACATGACATCACTGAATTTCATAAACGTGTTAAACTTAAAATAATGTAAATGAGTAAATATCTTCAAGAAATAGTAGCTGCTGTCTTACTCATGCCTTAGTACTAGAATTCTTTTCTAATATATGGTAGCAACACAGAAGACATATACAAAATACTGTTATTAGCGTGTATTTTGAAGGAAACAACTTCCACTCTCTCAGAAGACAAACTTTTTTAGTCCTTTTCCTTTTCAGGTCTGGTTTGTTGTTTTTTTGTTTTTGGGGTTTTTTTAAAAAAACTTTGACTCTGACTGTGCAACCAGATGAGGACCTCTAGAAGTCACCAAGCCCAACCCCATATAAAGTGTGAATTAGAGAGAATTTCTGACATACACTTACCTTCTTCCTTCACCTCCATTTTCTGAAATTCTTCGGCCTCCATATGTTAACTGTTCAACTGATAATTGCAGTTAGAATTAACACTTTGCTGTAAGCCTAAACCTTTTTAGTTAAAGAAGAATCTTGAGTCTTTTTTTGTCCTTTCTGTGGAGAAAAATGATCAGTGTCAACTTCATAAAACAAATATTTGAAGACTGTTCTGTCTCTCTTCTCTTTCTTCTGTTTTCTGCACAACAGCAACCAAATTCCTTCAAATTCCATCCATAGGTGAGACCTCTCCTCTTTTTCATTTGCTGCTTTCAAGTGGTTTGTCAGTGGTTTTTATTCCATTTTTCTTGGTCTGGAGCAAAAAAGAAGACAAAACAGGTTAGCAGAAGAACCATCAAAGGCCGAGTAGAATAATTAATAGCTGTTTTGTTTCACATAACACTTAAAGTACACCCTAAACAAACAAATAAATAAATTATCTGCCTGTTTTTATTATAGCCTAGTGTTCTTACCTTGTCATTCATGATCCATGGTCACTTTCAGATTATGTACTACTGTCCATGTACAATGCTCTGGTAAAGAGTGAGTGCTCTTGCACAGGTACTGTTTTGCATAAATGAGGTGGAGAATTCTTAAACCAGTCAAATGACATCTCCTGCAAGGCAGCAAAAAGGAAAACCAAAGAAATTACCTCAGGCTATGGCTCTTCCTGTATACCTTGGGTTTAGTACTTCCATTATAATTGTAATTTACAAGATCGTTACATATTTCTGTTTTAGGCAGCAATGTGCTATGTCCACGTAGCAGCACTGGTTGCAGAATATCTCACACGAAAAGGTATGATTTTAAAATCTTACTATAATGTTTATATTTTTTCAATATAGTTTAGAAATGGCAACAGTTTCCCTGAGGAAGTTGTAAGCATTTCAGTGTTATCAAGGAAAAAATTCTGACCTAACCAGATAGCATACTCATGTATTTAAGAGTATACTTGCATACCTAAGAGGCAGCGTTTCAGATAAAAGGGAAGTAAAATTTTTAGGAACGGAAAAACAAAACCCACCTAATTTTATACCAGAGCTGCTAATAGCTGAAGTCAGACCCTTGCCAAAGCAAACTTACCAGTGAATATTCTTTGTCCACAAATAATCTCTCACTGCATGTAGGAAAATCTGGCATTGCCAGAGAAGTCAAAATAAATTCATAGAAATTTTTAAATGCTGAGTCAGCAATAATAGTGTCATATAAAAGTTATTTCCTCTCAGTAATGTAGAGGGTTGAACTTCTACCTGTGATATTTCCAGGAGCAAGAAAAATGCATTTAAGGTAATCATTCAATAAAACCTTTGGTGGTCAGACTCCCACCGAGCAGAAAATCTTCTTAGGAATGAGCTGGGAAACAAACATGTGCATCTGTAGTATTTAAAGACTACAGAAATAGTGAAAATAAATGTGAAATAAATATGTGCTGCTGTAATATTTAACGATTGCTCTTGAGGCTTTAATTAATACATGTAATGTTAAATATTTTTAAATATGGCTTCTGCCTTACCCAGCATCACAAAACGGCCTAACATTATCCTGGTGGAGAAAAGTTAATTTGTCTATTTTGCTTTTTCAATGGCAGGGATGTTTAGGCAAGGTTGTACTGCTTTCAGAGTAATCACACCTAATATAGATGAAGAGGCTTCAATGATGGAGGATGTTGGAATGCAAGATGTTCACTTCAATGAAGTAAGTAAACATAAGAGTGCTAGAAGTGATGCACATTGAAGTGCTGTCTGTTTTTCCAAGTTTTGTGTTTCAGTCTGGAGGCTGGCTAATGTGATGGATATCATAATTATTTTTCTTAGCCGCTCTTCTAATCCTAAACCTGAAATAAAATATTCCTGTGAGCTGTCCCAGCCTTAGAGAATTTGCTATATATATTTGTATTAAATAAAGCACTAGCACATCATCTCAACACCACTAGTGGAACAAAAGTAAGCAAAATTTTCAAACTTAAACAGGGAAAGTTCAGGTTAGATATAAGGAAGTTCTTCACAGTGAGGGTGGTGAGGCACTGGAATAGGTTGCCCAAGGGAGTTGTGAATGCTCCAACCCTGGGAATGTTCAAGGCCAGGTTGGACAGAGCGTTGGGTGGCATGGTCTAGTGCGAGGTGTCCCTGCTCATGGCAGGGGGGTTGGAACTAGATGATCTTTAAGGTCTCTTTTCAGCCCAAACCATTTGTGATTCTATGATTTCAAAAATAAGTTTTTAAGCTAGTTGACAGGATGGACACTAATGTGGCTTATTACAGGGGTTTTTTTCTAAACTGACTTTGATTTAGATTGTTACTACACCAGCAATCATGAAAATGTATTTAGTGGTTTTTTGTTGGTTTACGGTTTCCTTAAGCAAATATGCCATAACAATGGAAATAGTTTAACTGACACCAGACTTACGTCAGTGTTGATTTTTTTCTGGCTTAAGTTTCACTCCTTGTGTCTTTGCTGATCCATCTGTGCTGGCTCTACAGTAAATTTTGCTATTAAGAAGCCTATGTAAAAAGATAATGAATAATCTTGTTCATGAAGAGCTACATCTGTGCTATGTATTTGCCAGTATAGGTGGAGGAGGGAGGGACAGGCTGCCTGTTTATATATGTGTTTATATGTATATATACATGTATATATTCTGGTTTAGTTTGTATATGGCGAAGGTGTATGACAGAATTAGTTGACTCTGCAGGCTATACTACCAGATTTGGGAGGAACAGATGAAAGACTTAGGGGTTTAAGCCTGGGTTTAGGCCTAGGGTACCTGTGTTTTACTCTTAAGTTCTGGCAGTGCTTTGCTCTATAGGTTTAAGACAAAATTTTTTTACTTGCCTTTTTCTGGGAAGGCAGGAGTTGGTATTAACTTGAAATGAGAAATATAGATACAGTGTTTTATCTTTCCAAGGATATCCAATAGCAGATTGCCTTTTTTTTTATTTATTTATGTGCTATATTCTTAAAACCACTGATTCTCCTGATCCAGCATGGAATTTAGCATGTTACTCAAAACAAAATGTAAGCTGCTGTAAGCGAGCCAAGAGTTGGGTTACCAGTGACTACTGCTGATGGAAACTTTTGTTAGAAATTCTTGTCAGTATCTCCCTGACAAACCATTTGTCAGAGGTAAATTCTTTGTATTTTATAAATTGAAAAATTTAAAAATTTATTCTTTTTCTCATTAGTCAGTCTCTGCAAAAAGAATATACTGCTTTTTCTGGAGCATTGAACCCTACGCAAATTTATTTCCATCTCTCAGTATTTCCATGGAATGGAAGTAAGCCAAGAATGAAATTACAAGCCTGTGGAGCTTGCAAAAGCATCAAACCTTGCCAAATTTAATTTTTCCCTGCATGCAACCCTTTTTAAACTTAACCATGTAGTACTGTAACTGATTAAGTATTGAAAAAAGTTACTATTTCTCAGATAACTTCTTACAGTTTACCCCAGGAAGAGTAATAATAGGGAAGAACTGTGGGTTTTAGTAGACTAAAAATCATGGATAAATTCAAGTGACTTTTTACAGAAGTACATCAGAACAGGTAGTCTAATTGCTTCATGAATAGGAGCATATTCATGTGAGGAGTGTTTCCTCAGTATGTTCTTATGTGAGCAAAACTGTTTAGTCTAAAAAAAAATCATATTAGCAGAAATGTATCTTTCAAGCTGTACTTTACTACTAGTGAGCAAAATGGTGCTCTAATGGGAATTCTTCCTATAGGTGGTAACAAAAGTCGTGGAATTTCTTAAAACTTGGAATTTCGTAAAACCCTGGATGCTAGTTACATTAGAGTTAAATCTCTAAAAGTCTACTTACAAGTAGGGATGATCAGAGGGCATCTCTTAATGTTTCTAAAAGAGGCAAAATGTCTTTTATATTCTCCAGTTTATACAAAGTCTTCCAAATTAAGTGAAATCTGTCTTAAGCCTTTATGTAGTTTCTCATTTTTTAAAAAATGAATTTTTGAAAGTTCTCAATTCTAATACTAGAAGAATTTTCTTTCAGGCTGGGGCTACCCTGACTCATTTCCTAAACTAGCCAGTTTGGGGGCGGGGGGAAGGGGAAAAAAGAAAATTTTGGTTTGGGTTGAGGGTTGTTTTTTGTTTTTTGTTTTTTTTTTTTTTAACAAAGTTACTGTGTGCATTTCATTTAAACAGTGGTTTACCCAGACAGCCTATTGAGCAGCACAAGTCAAACTCTTCTTGCAATACTAAAACAAAATCTTCTGAGTGTCAGAAATAGGAAGGTAAAAGGCTGGAACCTGGTATCCTTTCCATGCTAGACTTTGCTGTAAGCAGTCCATCTGTGAGAGATCTGAGCTATGGCTAACAGGCCTGTGGCAGGTGCCAGACTCCATGAAGATGAAGGTTGGAAACAATTTCATTCAGATTTGTTGTTTTTTCCCAAATAAACTCTGCCAGAATATAGCTACACATAGATACTAGGTCAGTCTCTACCTCCCTGTCTGTTTTTTCTGGTCTCTTATTTAGCTATGACATTCCATGAGAGGATTTTCTCTAACTTGCAGATTGGTAAATGAAAGAGCTTCAAAGGTCACATTATATTATGTATGATCAACATGCAGTGTAATTCAATATATCAAAGCACTTAATGAAAAGCAGAAATAGGTACTTACCCAAATACACAAGATGCCTTAAGTATGGTGGTAAAGGCTGATCCTCCTCAGGGATACTCGGGCCGATTTTGTTTGACACCTTCATTAGCAAACTAGGTCATGGGACAACAGTGTACCACCAAACTTGTGGGGGAAACTGAAAGACATGTCAGGGGCTGGGCTGCCTTTTAGAGGGATCCCAAACTGAAGGAACATGAAAGCTTCTCAAAGCTCTACAAAGACAAGTGCAAATCCTTGTATCTGTGAAAAAATCACTCAGTGTGTCAGGACTAGGGATGGACTGGCTGGGCAGTGGCTCTGCAGAAGCACCTGAAAGTTCTGGTGTACAAGCGGTAGCCTTGTGGCAGCACAGGCCAGCTGCATGCTGGGTCGCTTTAGAAAGAGCATAGAGTCAAGAGAAGTGGAGGGAAGTGGGTTTTGTCACTTCTAATTGGCCTTTGTGGTGCCCCATCTGTCATCTTGTGCCCAGTGCTGCCCATCCAAAGTCAAGAGAGATATCAAGAAACAGGAAAAAGTCCAGCTTCTAAGGTGGCTAGTGGGATAATCAGACTCTTCTAAGAGGTGTGCCATAAAAGAGTAAGAGGCCATTCATAGGTTACAAGAGAAACTCTGGGTATACGGAAAAAACCCTCTTCCCATGAGATGGATAAACACTGAGACAGGTGGCCCAGAAATGTTGTGTCCTTTTCCTCCCTCCTATCATCTCTCCCACACATCTTTTGCTTTTTATATATTTTCTTTTCCTTTATGCAAACAAAATTCTACTGCTTTGCTGCATTTGGGTGCCCTCTGGTGTCTGAGTTAAGATTCTTGACATAAAACAATGTTTTTGGATAGTCCTTGAAGGCCAGCAGTGACACTGGTCTTTCAGTTCTCACCACCTAATTATTGAGGGGGGAGATACTGGCAGGTCTGCACAGACCCATAATGACTGGGGGAAAGGAAGAGATGTTTTGGGGACCGTTACAGCACATGGATAAGGGTAGTGTTTTTCAGTCTCTTTTTGCAATCAGTATTGAAGTTGACTTTTCTTAGTGATGTCTTCATGCTGTTTTAGTCCCCTAGCAAAGGGAGGAAGGGAATAGAGTAGCACTGTATCCCTTCTAAGGATAAAAAGTTATTTCCAGCTTCTGGCTTCACCACTACGATGTAAGAATGGTACCAGAAGGTCTCAAGGAGTAGAAATGTCATGTCTTCTGACACCCCTCAGTCACAGACTTGGAATCTCTTGGAGGTTTCTTGGAGCTCCAGACATGTTTGAAGACAACAGAGATATGATAGGGTTTGTGGATGCAAATGGACTTCTTTGCAGTAATTCTGTTGCATTCAAACTGTGACCAAGTAGATGACAGCTTTGTCACAGGAGCTATAAGCTTCCCGTGATATCTGTAAAATCGTTTGTTGTAAATGAGTTAATGGACTTAGCCAAGTGATCTCAAATTTATGAAAACTAGAGCACACTAATGTTATCTTAGTTTTGTAGAAGCAGAAGAAATCAAATGCATGAAAAATAAAGAATTATGATAACCTGAATGGACTTTATAGTTATGATGTGACTGCTCTAGTGCAAAATTTATGCTTCCATTCTAACATACCAATAAGCATAATTCTTACTTAACCTTAAGTAACTATTTTTTTGCAACAAGGATATTGGGATCAAACCTGACAAATCTAAGGTGGTCTCTTGCTTGTGACTCTCTTTTGACTCTTCAGGACTTCTCAGCTTCTCTAACTTTATTATAGGTATTTTCATTCTGGACCAAGTATTCCAAACTCCAGTTATACCTTATTAATTACTCTGAGTACAGATTTTGGTATTGTATCCTTTTGTTTTATTGTTAATGTAATTTGATAGTTTCCTTCAGAACCATTAGTCAAGTCTTTGTATAGCTGTCTTAAAAAATAATGTTTTTTGTGCACAACAAACAAACAAAAAACCAACAAGGAAACAAACTTTGGGGAAAAAAAAACCAAAACCAAAAAACCAAAACCAAAAACCAAACACCAATCTGTTACAAGGTAAGACAAGGGTCTGAAGGTAAGACCCTGGGTCTTCACACAGGTGTCATTTGTAGACTTAAGAGGTCCGAAGTATCTAGAAGAAAAATGCTGTTTGTGGTAAATACAAAAAATACGAGTGTATGCTCAGACCATTCTGTTTTGTTTTGAGGCAAGATCTCCCCTTTTCATTGGGAAGAACTTCGGTATAATTATTTGCTGTGCTTTTTGCAAGTACTCAACTGTTTTCCTTTTTCAAACGTGTATCCAAATCTAGGATGTGCTGATGGAATTGTTGGAGCAGTGTGCTGATGGACTCTGGAAGGCAGAACGCTACGAACTCATTGCCGACATATACAAACTTATAATTCCCATTTATGAAAAACGGAGGGATTTTGAGGTACTAAATTCACCATAAGTAAATTCAAGCAAGGAAATGAAGTCCTGATTTTTCTGGTCTTATCTGCATGACACATTGGACATCACAGAACAAGAATATTTAAATAGTAAATGAATATGAACGTGTAGAAATTTTTGGTTTAATTTTAAATAATTAAGATTTTTTCCTTAAATATAATTAAAAATT